TATAGAATTTAAAATAGTGGACAAACATTTGTGAATACACTGTTAATTATTGGTTGTAAATATGTATTTTATAATGTAGAATGCTTGGAAAACTTCTTTCCAGAGTATTCTAGTTTAAGAAATTTCTTTCGACTATATGAATTCTATTACAAGTATGTTGATTATTACAGCTTGTTAAAACTACCTAAACTTTGGGTGTTAATTGTATTAAAGTAAATCTTATTTTTGCATTTTATAGTCAGAAAATGCTCATGTACATGTATTCAGAAATTAAAATCTTAAAGCTCTTACATGCATTCAGCAATTTTGTTTTGCTTTCTTATTTTTAACAATTTGTTTTTTTAAAAAAGCTTTTAAGACATAATTTACAGATGTAGTTTGGAATTTTGATGTAGTGGAAGCTAACTATAGATTACTCTGCAAAGGACACTAGAGAAAGAGAAATAGAAAACAAGAATAAGACCTTCTATCTTACGGGCAGGAAGAGAGGCCTATGGACTTGAGTAGCCACACCAAATCCAACGCAGACCAATGTTTTGGAAAGGATGAAGGTGAGAGATCACTCTTGTATGGGGAAGCAGCAAGGTTGAATCCTGGAGGCGTCAGAGAATGCCCTTTCCTTGCTCTATCTCCCAAACTCTGTGACCTCTTTGCAGTTCTCATTTCAGATAGAGTCTCACAGCTGTGTGATAGAATGCAGGTAGTTTCTGAGGAGTCTTAATGCAGACATGCTCATCCTTCCTCAGAGTTTTTGTCCTTCCTGGGACCTTTGTCTGGCACACCTTTTCCTCAGATCTCTACTACCTTGTCACATCCTCAGATCATACTAGCTACAACAGCTGCCTGCCCACTGGCCTTGCTATTGTATTTAGCACCACCCAAAGATATCTACGATCTCAAAAATGCCGTAAGAAAAGGTAATGTTTTTAATCTAAAATTTGTTAGAATAAAGACAACAAATCAAATTCTAACAAATCAAAATTTGTTAGAATAAAGACCTATAACATAGTAGAGTTATAAACATTTTATTTTGCTTTTATTTTTTCTTTTTGAAATACAAAATGTGCACATTGAGTTTACACAAACACACGATGGCAAATTTCAGTGTACATGTATTGTACTACTCTTAATTTCTACACTGGTGATAGCAGGGCAGCTTTCAACATCCTATCTCTACACCAGAATAGATACCTGATTTATTGTTGCAAAGACAGTTGCAAATTTCCTCCTACTGTAGCCTCTTGGTCTTTGTGATATTTCTACAAAACAGAGAAGGTGTGTATATTTTCAGCAATGTGGCAACTGTATAGTCTTGCTTAAGATCATTAGAATCTGGATTGTAGGAGTTTTATGATGAGCTAAATCATAATGTGATCCAGATGAGGTGTTCAGCACTTACATTCATTTTCTACTAAATCTTGATAGTAGCTCTCAATATAAGGGAATCCCTGGTGCTTTCAAAGTGAATTTTGCTTGCTGTTTGTTCCTAGTAGGCATTGGGGTAGCCAAGGTCTCTTTGTTCCTGAATGGCTTGAAATATAAACATGCTGTGAGGAAGTCAGGGGAAAGAGATGGAATTGGCCTTTAGTGCTGTTAAGGATTACTTGTTATCAAGCATTACTGTGTACTGGAGAACAGTTACCCTAACCTTTTGCATACATTTGTAAACATCCTTGCTTTGTGTCATGCCTTCCTGAACTTCCACTTAATGACATGATAGAAAACAGTCAGCATGTAAGATCAAACAAATCCAAAATTATCTATATTATGTAGGCCTTTGTTGTAATATGTATTATGGAAAATTAAGAAATGCTTATTAAAATAAGTTTTATTAGGCATATGCTGATATCTGGTAATAAACTAATTTGTTAAATGTTATTAAAAATGCCAGATAAATTAATGTCTTTAACAGATGGTGGCAAATCCATAGAAACTGGGACTATGTGGGGTTTTCTTAAATGTAATCTCGTTTACTTAAAGTATATAAATGGAATTACAGCATACAAACATGAAAATTAATTTAATTTCTGGAAATTAAATGCAGATGTCAATATTTTAGAAAATCATTTAAAATCCTAGGACTGAAAACATACAAATGAGTAGCAAAAAACACTAATATTTTAAAATCACTGAGAGTGAAAGCCTCAATAATCCCATGGCTAAAGAATCAACAGAACTATATGCCAGATTCTATTACTTTCGAATATTCACAGAGTATGAAATGAGTTAGAACATTCCATGAACTCAGTGGCATTATGAAAAGGATGCAAATTTATTATAACTGGAAAACAAATCTTGTAGGGATTGCTTTATATTAAAACAAAGCTTATTTGCATAATATGCTTCAGTGTAAAGCTGAGCAATCTATGCTAAAAGTGGTAGCTCCAACTTTAAGTGTGGTAGAATAGTTCACATTTGTCTGTTGGATTGAGGAACTATTTGACAAGTTAAATCACATTTTCAAAGAGCTGCATGGAGCGCATTATGTTTTCATCCTGTAAGGGAGAAGCAGAGGGATTACATTCAGCATATCTGCAGGGGAAAGCCCACTGTTTTGCTCCTGAGTGTTACTTCCTCCCACCAACCACCTATGCCAAAAGCTCAAATACTAAGTATTTGCAAATGTAAACACCGTTCTATCCATTTTCCAAATAGATTACTACTACGGAGGGCCCATTTTATGTTTTGTTGAGTCTACCAGGCATTAAACACTTTATTTAAATCATACTTGTTGTCAATAGAGGATATGTCTGAAATCTTAATGCCAGGTTGGAAACTAGAGAGACACAGAGGTAAGTCAAAGTGAACAAGTGAGAATTTTGGCAGTCCAGGTAGATCACAGACCAAATCCTAGTAACTTTTTATACAGGTGCAAGGAAACAGTTTGCTTGTGAGCTAAGAGCCAGCACTCCATGAAGACTGGAGGTTGGGGCTTGGGAGGCAGGGTGGTGGGTAAGAGGGAACAGGTTTTCAGTAATCGCACCTCTTTTTTTATGTCTGCTAGTTATGGCTAAATCTGTATGAATGCCAGAGAAAAGATTTGTTGGGAGAAATCGTTGCCCAGTGGCTGTCTTCAGTTTCGCATATTCCTTACAAATGAGCTAAGGGGACAGACTTTGGGCACTACTGGAGCACTGGTCAGTTGTATGTGAAGGGCAGCGAGCCGTTTATAGTAAGGGGTAAATGGTGGCTGAACCAACAGTGGCTTCCACCGCTAGAAACAAAGTAACATCACCATTAAGCAGGTTGATGTCACCAAGTTAATTCTCTCAAGACCACCACCTCAAAATCCAAGTTGAGAAACAAACAGGCATCAGGAAAGTTGAAGAGCAACAATTGAAAGAGAAAAGCTAAAGCACCAACAGACTTCTTTGTCTCCATTATTATCTTAAAAATTCTTAATTGTGGTTCTACCCACACATCAAGTTAAGTAATTCTAAGTAAGCTAACACTGGCTTCCCAGATGACAGGTAACTACCCAGATTTCTATTGTAAGAAAATTTTCCAGTTTATTTTTTTGTGACTGGAGACATTTACTGAGTTTAGCCAAAAAGCCATTTCTTATCCACATACACTAAAGCGATGCTATTTTTTTTAGAAATCAGATATAATCTTGGCCTGTGATGCATACTTGGCTGTATGGGAATTCTAAGTCTACGGAGATATGTTAGATAATATACATGTTATATGGTAAGTCTGGGAAAAAAGCAATTTAAATCTTCCATATACGAAGTCTGTCTAGGAAGTATCCAGCCATGTACTATATTAACAATGGCTGGATACTTTCCAGACAGACCTCATGTGTTTTATCTTCAATGATGAATACTCTGTAAAAGATCTGGGAAACAAAAACACAGTATGTGTAAAACTTGTATATATCTAGGGCTTCATAGCTAGCCTACCTCAGAGCACGCTCTCAGTTGCTTTGTTGAATGTATAAATTATTGTTTTCAGAGTGCTGGGCTCATCTCGCCTGTTGTAGAAGTGGTAACTTAGGCATATGATCGTTATATACTACTTTGCTCGGTTCATGGTGGCTAGCTGGCAATACTCAGTCTAGCTGTTATGAAATCAAAGGGATAGTTCTTTTACTTTCATTACTTACTTTTTGGCAACTTTCGATGAACTCATCTATAGTAACGACCCCATCTTTATTTTTGTCCATTTTCTGTTCAGAAAGAAAAGAACAAAACATGTTATACAGACTCACACCTTGATACCCTCACACCTGAACTGAATGAGCTGCAGTTGATGAAGAGAAAGCTCAACTGCTTTTTTTATATGGAGAAACTGCTTAATAGCAGAACCTAGTAATAGTTTCTTAGAGATAAGGGTCATATGGCAAATCCTTTTAGGCTGCTCCTTGTTCAGTGTAATGTGGTGAAGATCTAGAGATTCTTCACCCCAGGTAAAATCCTGCCTTCCATTAATAGATATGACAGAACTCAGGCAATTTGCTGACACTTTTAGAGCCTTGCTCTTCTCATCTATAAAATGGGATTAATGGGGATTTATAGCCTCACAGTGTTCTTGTAAGAATTGAATGAAAACAAACAAAAAAACTTGTGAAACGTGAGAATTGCTTAGTGTCCTATCTAGGATACAGTGACTGTTCAATCAGTGTAGTTATCAGTGTTAAATTCAAAACCAAAATTATTAGATTACTAGGATGGTAAATATTCTATTCTTTTATCCCTTCAGTAAAAAGTCTTTTCTTTTGCATTCTTTTGAATCATCATGGCACTCTTCAGACATCAGGAAATTTGCTCTTAATGACTCCTTGACTTCTACTTTCATTCTTACCTGGAAAAATGTTTCCACATGTTGTCTAGGAGCATCTTCTTTGAGGACAGGATATGTGCATTTACCCATCATGTCATATATTGCTTTCATTATATCAAGCATTTCCTGGAAAGTAAAAGGCACTCTCATGAGGCTGCACAATGTACGAAGAAACCAATCAAGAGGCTTTGACAACATGATATTGTGTGTGGGGAGCCAGGACTCCTATTGTCATACCCGGGGCCTCGAGATGCTGCGGCGTGTCCGGAGCCAGCCCCTGACCAAGGATGACCTGGCGACCCCCTTGAGCATGGAGCCCAACACCGGAGACCTGTCTTTGGCCACCAGGATAAGTGGAAATATCTCTCTTAGTGCTCCTGAGGCTTCCCTTTACCTACTGGCGGTTGTTCCGGGTTCCATCTGAGTTCACTCTATCCGTGATAAAG